AGGGCAATTAGCTGATGTAAAGTTATTGCCAAACAATACTGAGTAGCGAGATCAACAGACCGCAGGCTTCAAGATCGTGCGATCGTGGACATCGCCTGATCGCACCCAACACCGGCATAGGACGCCCCCAACGATAGAACCAAGTTTATTTGTTTGAGAATTTGTCTATTGATTCGTGTTGAGTTTGTTTGTTTACAAAAACCGGGCGGCCAAAAGGGTCAAAATCGGCAAAAAAGGGACAAAATAATTTTACAAAAATTAAAGAATCATACGATGGAACCAAATTTGTTTAAGAATTTTTGTCATGATTTGCGTGTAGCTTCGTTGTTAAAAACTGAAGTGAACTGTTGGCAACCTTTGGGTACGCCAATTTGTATTCTTTTTTTTAATCAGTCGTTTCATATTTTGATTTACTGTTTTTAGGAACTTTTTTTTGGGGGGGGCATATTGTTTTCAAATGTTGGTTATTTTTTTTAACTTAATTTCTTTTATGATGTTTTTGTGTTGATTTTGTGCTTTACTATTTACATTTTGATAAGAAAATGTTGTTCGCCCGTAATTTTGTATTTTTGGTGGAATTCATTTTAGTGACATATTGCTTCTAATTTTTGTTATTTAATTTTTCAATAATTTGTTTCGTAAATAGTTTTTGATGTTAGTTTTGTGTTTTATTATTTAAATTTTTAATAAGAAAATGCTGTTTGCTCGTAATTGTTTATTTTTGCTAAAGTTATTTTTTGCTCTTTTGGCCGCCCATAACCCTCGCCCCGTGTTCGTAGTGGATAAACCCTTGTGCATGTCAAACAGTGCATGACATGTCGAACAGTGCACGTAGCCATTATTTATAGCCATTGTTTGGCATGCACAATGTAAGCACATTTTTGTATTGCTTCCTCATAGCACGACGGCTACATGCATTCTATAGTGACACAGTTTCCTGACCACCTTCGACTCTTCCACTCTGCGTGCCAATGAAGCCCTGGTAGAGACAGTTATTGCGCAACATGAAAACGCTATACAATTTACGGCCGTTACCTTGCTAATTATAACTGTTTGTACAGTTCCTTCGAACTATCAGTTAAAAGTTTATTACCCTTAACAGTCCTCAATCCTTCAACCTTAATATGATTATTTTGAATACAGACTGGGGGGATTCAGGTTAAATCAAGAGCACAACAACGGACTCCCGGTGGCCTCATGGCGCTTGCAGCTAATCACAATTTCTACAGCTGACACAACAGTGTAAAACAACTCTTTTGACCATATGGCATGGACCGACTTACGAGTAGGCGGAACTAATTTTTGAATAAGGTTTACAGCTTACACAGCCTAAAGTCTGCATCATAATAGCCTATATATTTTTCATGAATGCATTGATAAGGAAATACAAACTTGAAATGATAAGTGTGAACAAAAAAGCTGACCAGAATAAACAGTGATAAATTTAAAGTCGACCAGTCACGTTTTGGTATTAACTGGTCACGGGTTCAGTGTTCACATAGCGCAAACAATTTTTTTTGGGAGGGGGGAACTAAAGTGCTTGACAAGCAAAACAAAACAAAAGTTGGGATACTTAGTTGAAAAAATAGTTTTCAGCGTCAACGGTATTTAGGTATTTTTACCATAGGGGGATCATATTTGCAAAGAGCTCCTGGAAACATTACATTTATTAGTAATATTACGGTATCTCCTTGCGTGAGACTGTCGGGTCTGTCGGCATGTCGGTAATTCCAAACACACGTCTAGTTATCTGTATCCTAACTTTTAATCGGTCGTTGAGTGATTTCCTCCAACATTCCGATTAATGCTTTACCTCCATAGTATACATTGCCCACAGATGAAATGAGGAAATTGCACCAAGTTAAATAGAATTCGAACCGCGAGCTTATGAATGTATATCTCATGTTATTATTATTATTATAGTTTATTTATTTAATTATTTGAATTAAAAGCAGCCAACGGGCTGAAAACATTCAAATTTACAATGATATTTTAGTTAAAAGTACTTCAAATACAATGAATCCAACTTTAAATTGTAGATTAAAAGGTACAAATCACAACACAAAAAAATTATTCATTATCATTAACAAACATCAAAGATGCGCTTAAAAACACTGCTGATTAAAACTGAGTGTTCAACTATTTAAAGACGAAAAAAGAAGAGTTGGTCACAGACGCTACACTAATTATTGACAAATCACTAGAGACTTAAGAAATGGCTATATGAAACTGTAGTACACAAGATTAAAATTAACAGTTTCAAAATGGCGTAGATCAAAAGGGTATATTACACTTTCTATTTTAGAATTCTGGCCAATGATGGAATGGTAGATTTCTTATACCGCTCAGTAATACAGCAGGGGTGTGACAAGAGCAGAGACAGTTGTGGACCTGAGCTTTCTACCTTGCTTGTTATTTTCTAGGGGAAGCATATGTCGAAATCTGTTCGAACACAAAAGTTTGTTCCCAAAATTGTGCAACCAATCAAACCTTCTGGATTCTAAGCTTTGAATGTCAAGTCTGGCAAGAGCATGGGAGTAAATACTACAGTCATCGCCTAATATGATACGACAAGCACGTTTATCAACGCATTCAATAGAATTACTTTGCTCAATACTAAATGACGTGAGCCAAACTTGCCTAGCATATTCCATAATCGGTCTAATGTAGCAACTTAATTAAGACTGTAAGCATGTCATCTGCAGCCACTTTAGCCTTCTTAAGGACACATAAAGTATATAATCTACGATATGCATTAGAAACAATATCAGTGTGTCCAAAGTGATCCCGGAAATGTTTTGCTTCCTTTTTTAATTCCTGTACTTCCTGCTTTGAAAACTGCATTTCCAGAGAAGGCATAAATGATGCACGTGTATATTTGGACGGAGGAATGTAACGAAGACCCAAACTACAAATGAGTTGCAAATTTCAACTTCTTTTTCAGACTGCGGCACGTATTTTAACTTGGCCATTGCTGATGCAACGGGTTTGGTCCAAACATGTACATGTCAGTATCTGCTTACAAATGAAGATTTATCTGACCGTCCTATACACTGCTGTCAGTGCATGGCTGGAACAAAGAAAACAAGGCACAAAACAGTCACTTATAATACACATGGCAAGCTGGTTGTAGAACACATTTATTGGCAGTCCAAAACATGTCTCCTAAATTTGCCCAAACTTTTATCCATGTCAACGCAAGTATAATTTGAAGTGACGCCTTGCCTGTCGTATGTTAGAATACTTGTCATCTGGCACACAACTTCAGTCTTAAAATAAAACATCGTCAACACGAGAAATATGACTCAGCAGTTCTTAAAGATTAGTGACGAACAAATGGCTTTTTGTATCCAATTCAGTTAAGGTACTTTAACAAACGCCTGCTGTTTACATTAAAGGATATCATGTCCATTGTAAATTGGAGACCGAATGCAATTATATCAAAATAAATAAGGAATACAAGGATTTCTGAACCCCAAATAAGAACGATGATAAACTGTTGACTTCTTTCCTCCCATGTTTCGGGTACCGCTATTCCATAAACCGAAAGTAACTTGGTGCAATTCAGCGGCGACACAGACGCCATGGTACAAAATCCAACAAACTATCAGCGCTTTTCATGATGGCTTCAGGAAACAAACATTCCCCAACGATGTTTTTCTCAGTTTCATAAGTGTAGTTTCATTATTTACCCAGTCTAACCTATAACTTTGTTTACATATTCCAGCATGTATCCAGGATACATGTGCCCAGGGTGAAGGTTTATTTCTGCATTATGGTTTGCATAGCACTATGAGGAACTAAAGAGACTGATAATGTGTACAATTCCGTGCAGAAAGTTCAGCATTGTCGGCCTAGATGTGGAGTTAAAAAAAGATTTTAAAAAGAAACATGCAAAAACACATCTTTCTGTGCGTCTTTAAAGAGACCATGAAATAGAAATGTTTTAGTATATTTTATAAAAACCCTTGAGATTGCACGTCTGGGTCCCAATATACGTGATTTTAAATGTTTGTTTTACAATGTCAGACCATATTTTGGAGCTTTTTCTGCTAATGACATTTGCATATTCATCAGCACCCAGCATCAACGTTGCCCTGATACGTGCACAGAAAATTCATAGATTTTGTAAACACTGCTATCGTAGGTTTCATTTCCTCTGGCAATTTATTGTTGTGTAAGTATATGACAATAAACAAGCAAGCAAGCTTTTCACAGAAATGTTTTCAGAAGGCAAATTTGGAGTACACAATTTGACCATGAAAACATGCAAACTGAACCATGTCTTTCTTGACGTAACTCAAAACAAAAATGTCAAACAGTCTTTATACATTTAAGAAGAGTACAAAGATACACAAAAAGTGATTCTAAGATAAATTCATTTCATGGATCCTTAAATTACCCGTTATTACGTTACGTTATTCACGATCAGAATTTTGTACTTTGCCTTAAATATAACGCGTGGAGTGGTTCATGATGCAATCAGAAAGTAAGTTTGTATTTAATTAAATGAGCGCACTGGATTGGGGACACCCAAAAGACTTGTTTTGTTTTGTTATGGGGTCTTTGCATGCTCTCTTTCCCCTGGATAACCGCTAGGCATCCTAGTGTAATTTGCCTTATTGCCAGCGGTATCAATCGACACGGTAATGAAAGGAGACCACGCATTTAGTCCACGCTATAGCAACATTTTAACTGAAACTGCTTTCATTTACTTTTAAACAGTTTATAACTCAACTGCCTAAAGAGCGGGAGTAATATAAGGCGCTTTGTCTGATGAAATCATTATTATTTAAGCAAAACGTGTTTAAGGTTGTGGGTCAATGTTTGTGCCAACTTCCAAGATCATCCACTTTGAATTATGAACACTATTACCCTTTTCACAAAATGTCCCCTAAACATAGTTTGACACGGCACTAGACAAAAAAGTTCAAAGGGCAAATTAAAACAATCATAGTACAAACCTCGCTCATTGGTCAGAAATACTGTACCGACACATACGCTTCCCGCAAAACCTAAAGTTCTTAAGAGAAAAGTAATATCTATAAAAGTGTTTGAATCTGCATTCATAATCAAGTGATATGCCCTTTATTTTATTCATTCCTTCAGCTCATGTACGTTTAGCAGGGTTTGGTTTAGTCGGTGAGGAGTAGGTTTATTCGCTTTTGCAGCATCGACCAGGAAGTGATCGAAATCACCTCGCGATTCTCATCCCATACAGTTCTACAGCACAGTGTGGTTATTTTCTAAAACCTGGCAAAACCAATGCTATCATAGAGGTTTCAGGGGATATGTTCATTAGCCATACGCTTGAAATAACAGGATAGGAGAGACGCATGCTTTCCTTGTTCCTGTGAAGGACAGAACAAACAGTACCAGGTAATCATGGCTTCAATGTTGCACGGGCACTGCAGTGGTGTTTTGCTCCCCATGCTGCTTGTTTTTCTTCTTAACGGAGGTAAGCACAACCAACGTTTTTGTACCTGTGTAAAACTAGATTTTGTTTCCCTTGAGAATGGGAAGTGTTGCTTTGATATAAAATTTAGCATTTCCGAGAAGTGAATGTATTCTGTTCGTAGATTTTTATTCCCAAAATGTTATGATCTTGCATGATCACAAACGATTCGTGTCCCTTCCAAATAAAACTCTATGTTGTGGGAGTTCCTCATGAAAGTACACCAATAACCCTAGACCCTAGCTTTTTTAATTCAATGCGTGTTTCTCTGAAAGTATATCAGCTCTTCCATTTTGTTTACTGAAAAATTGCCTGGGTTAAATTTTTACCCAAGCGAGAGTGAAAAGTGCAAATACCTGATAGTTTAGGTTGTTTCAACCCAATTTGGGCCTATTTGTTACGCTCGATGCCTAAGTGTTACAATTGAGATCCCGTCGTTATAACCCTCTTCCCAAATCCACATTCCATTCTACTGGCATTTGAATTGATCAAAGGGTGTCCCCAGGTGCCTACAAATTAAAAAAAACGCACAAGAAAAGATCAGAGTACGGTCACGGTACCCTTTTTCCAGTCAAAGGGGGGGGGGGTCCCACTACAGTCAACAAAAATTTGACACCCCCCAACACAGTGAAACTACTCAGACAGCTATCTAGACAGCTCAGAGACACATCAGAGAGACAGACCATTGATACAAGAAAGGCCAAGACTTACCCTGGCACTTGGTTTGTCAATAATCCCTTATCACGTGGCTTAGATATTTACATACAATCCCCATGGGACTTGGCTGGAGGCAGGCTCTGGAAAAGAATTACTCAGCTCAGGGGAAGTCCCCATATTAAAGGTGACTAAAATAGGCTGTTCAGCGTCTACAGAGGTACAAATTAACAGGAGGTTTTTGCATTTGCCGATATTTTTTTTAATTACGTAATTAGAAAATAATGGATCCCCAGTGTATCAACTCCGCTCTACGTCGGGTTAAATTAATTTCTGGGATATTTTAACCACAACAACGGTTAATGCCCACTCATTTTGTGGGTGAAAACTGAGACGGAAGGTAATTCCCAACCTAAAGCTGCTTTAACACGGCCAATATTTGGATAGTTGCAGTTTTCACCCTTCGTTGGGTTAAAATTTACGCCATGACTGTTGTTACGGCAGCCGTAATGCATCTCCCATTTCTATCGTTACGGCACTGCAACTGCGCAAGTGCGCCAACTTTATTTCCCTTAACAAAAATCCTCCAAAACCTCTGATGACAAAAGAAAAACATTACTGCTTAGGCCTATACAATAACAAACCAACATAAAAAACGATTACGGTAAAAAACATGAAATTTAGGCGAAAAAAAGAATAAAATGGTCCACGCCCGGATACGTCACACCCTAGTGGTCCCAAGCCTTCCACCTTGATCACACGGCCACAAGCGTTGTTGTTGTTTGATCGAAATGGCGCTTTCAGTAACTCAGGCTATTTGCGCCAATAACTGTACGTTTTTATTCATACTGGACCTTCTTCCTAACTCCTTACGGAGTTAGGAAGAAGGTCCAATTTTAGAGGCAGGAGGAAACCGGAGTACCCGGAGAAAACCTGCGAGAGCGAGTATGGACTGGAAACCATATGCACTTAAAGCCTGGGCCAAGCCAGGACTCGAACCCGGGCCTCATTGGTGCTAAGCGTGGAAAGAACTGCTACGCTAGCCTGCTCCCCCAGGCCACAAGCGTTCAGCGATATAGGTTAATTTAAAAACATATGAATCGTCGTGATGATCAGCTACGTCATCGCACTCGCGCAGTTCAGTGCCGCAACGATAGAAAATTGGAAATGCGTTACGACTGCCCTAACGATGGTCACTTCTTAAAATTTAACCCAGGCATTTTTTCAATGTTGGTTTTTTGATGAGTTACGTCAAAATACGATATGTTACAATCTCATGATGTATAACAATAGATCGTGGTCAATACACATTGAACGATGTTCGACTGGACCTCTTAGTTATTCCTAAACGTGAATGCCTGAACGACGTCATACACACTACAGGCAAACTACAGTTAGAAATATTTTCTGAGCAGGAAATGGGGGTACACGGCAGAACGCTGGGAATCTGCAGCTTCATTTCAACAGAATTTAATGCCACAAAATATAAGTATTTAATTCGCGGAGTTTCCATAATTCACCCGCAATGTACATGTTAGCTGTCCTTAAAATACCAGAACGCCTGTTGTCCTTGATTAGTGGTCAAGCCCAAATATTATTTGGGCATGACCACTAATTCCCATTGGATACAGTACACTAAACTGTACGATACGGTAGAGTATTGTATACGATACACAAAATCCCCTTTAAAAATTCTGACCTCAATTCATATATGTACAAGCTGTAGTAGGCCTACAGACACGTCTGTGAGACTAAACAAAACAGCCCAACGTGTTCAACTACAGTACTCATTCTTCGATTCTGTCCTGGTCTCACAAGAATTAGTGAAAAGGCCAAATAAACAACCCAAGGACAACGGTACTTTGGGGGATCTCAAAGAAGCTTTTGACAGCATCCACTGGAGGGTGATGAATTTCATAGATGAACTGAAGGACATTGGTAATTAGGACAAAATAGTTTTAAATCCTGGTAGCGGGAATGATATCTTCAACGACCTCAAAGGCAGCATTAATACCCCGTATGCCTACCTCTTCCCAATCGACATAATCTATATCCTGAGACTGGTTTTCAGTTTTGGATAAAAAATGCACCTTCAGAAATAAGTGCAAACGTAAAACAGTCGAATGACATCACACTGTTTACAGAATAATGACAGAAGTACAGAATTTCTTGAAACGGGAAACAAAACAATTACGTTGGACCATCTCCGCTAATAAAGCCGAACTTATAGCTCACTATATGAAGGTAATGGCGTAACTATAGATAACTGTGTAATCCACTTTTACAATTAAACGAAATTCTTTGAATGTGAGAGTTCGCTGGTCTAAGCCGAAGGCAGATTTTCTGATTCAAGCGTGGTCCCAAGGGTACTAAGCGTCATATGTAAATGTTAGTGGAGTATGACCAGATGTTATGATTTCTCGTTATCGTTTGGGTATTCATATAAAGTGCCAGCAATGTTCAGTTCAAGTGAATGTATCACAGTTATTTGGGTTTAAATTTTTTTGTGAAACCCTTCGCAAAGTTAGGCTTGACTCGTATGACTCCAAATCAGACATTAACGACGTCGGACCTTTGGACCAAAGTATAAGCGTGACTGTCTCTTTAATTAAAACGGTTCATAAAATCAGTCCACGGTAGTGTTAGATAAGATGTTTCTTCACCACCCCTTCCGCACCTTTTACAACTGGATAAACCTTTCGATGAACCCCACATATGTCTATAGACTTAAAGCTCATGCCTCTCATTTGTTTTTTGTGACGTCTTGGCGAATCACTAAAGGCGAATGCGATTCCACATGAATATTCATCTTAATACAAGACATGAATAATTCATCCTAGCGGAAAAAATTCCGAGACGGAACTGGCTTAAACAATGGACACATTATTAATATTACAAACAATAGCATTAGTAGGTTTGAAATACTCCACTTAACTTCATACACACAGTTATCTCAGCTGCAATCAATGTTTTTAATAACAAAGCAGTAAATGCTCCTTGGTGCCTCAGTAACCTTATTTTCAACTTTGTTTCACTATTTCATGGGGTGCTTCAATGTCTGTTTGGTTTTTATGCTGATGAGTATTTCCGAACTCACGAGCAAAATAAAGTTCTGTTTTTCTGTAAATTTTCTCGGACTAAATTTTATCTTCTTTGCTGATACATTGTTGTTTATGTGCATAGCAAAAAAAATAATTATGGTAATTTTGATTGTTTAAAAGTGTGCGCTTTTCAATGCATTTAACTAAATAGAAGTTTGTAAGAGTTTTCATGCATTGAAGAGAAGTACAAGGATGCAGAAAAATAATTGCTTTGAAGACAAATTCATTGCAGATACACTTTCACATATTCCATAAGGCTTATTTCCTCAACATAATACATGTACCTGCAACAATCTTTTGCCCTGTCCAATTTTACTAACCCACTCAAATATTATTTGATGCTGCAGCTGTGTGCTTGGATTTGCACGGAAAAAATGCCAACCAGAGCTCAACTGGTGATGACAAGAGCGGCCCGTGTAAAGCTATAGATGGGGACAAGTCAACATCTACGCATACGGGTAAGTTAAGCTTAAAAGTACTTAATGTTTTTGTAAATGCTCCTAACGATTGAACTGAATATGAAGAACATAGTTTGTACACGACTTATAAAGACCTTCTATACGGAATGGTTATTAATACCAGTAAATGGTTTGTAGTCTCTGAAATTGTCCTGTCATTAAAATTCGTTGAGAAATCTGCGGTTTGGAATAGTACATTATCTCTCGCCGATATGGTATTTTTGTTCATCATAAAAAAACTTAAAAATTTATAATACAAAATGTTCTTGGAAAGATTGTCTATTTACAAGAATGAATGACTATTCTAAATACACTGCGTGCAAGAAGGTCAATTACCATTTGGAAAATACTAATTCTTGATGCTTTTAGAAAAGATGTTATTCATTCCACAGTTTATTTAGGTTTAGCTATTTAGAATACAATAAAAAATTCATTGATGATGGACGCATTCGTTTTTTTGTAATACTCCCCTATTACAGAAAGCGTGCTCTGTTTTGATACGAGAAAAACCTGGTATTGCATTGAGCTATTTAGGTTTAATTTACCTGGAACCGTAAGGGCAAACTTGTTCATTCGTGCTTTCTTAAATACTTCCTCAGCTATCACAGAGGATGATAAAAGAGATCCGTGGTGGAGATTGGACCTGCTTGATGTCTACTGCTTAAAGAAGATAACCATACTTAACAGAAACGACTCAAGGTGTTCAGACATGCCCCAACATGATTGTGGTAAAATGGCTGATATGGGCGTTTAGCGTTTTAACCGAGGTTCATATCTAATGCAAGGTTATTCCGTGATTCTGAAAGTGATTTCAATTTAAATGCAATTGAATTTTATACGAACTACTCAATACGAGGACGTCGACATTTCTTGAATTACTTTTCTGTAAGCATTGTTGCCAAACGTCTTTGTAGTCCAAACCAATTGTTTGAAATGTTTGGTCTACTATCTCATTGAACAATGACAATAAAAGTATGTAAGATGTTTAAATGTCTCCAATTTCCATCTGAAAATCAAGAAGAAAGCCGAGAACTGGGGTAAAATCTGGCACATGGTCTCCTAACTGGCTTTTAATACACATCGGTACTTTTTAACAGTTAATCTGCGACTTTTTTGGAGATAAAAAATGATGATTAACCATTTTTCTACACAGCTTTGTCTTTGAAAAAAATTGTCTGATTAAGCTTTCGCGACTTTCGTTAAACGTGTTAAAAAAGCGTATAAAAAGTTTTACCACTTAAACGTTAGCCCGTCTAAGGTCGGTTTGGGGGGATGGTGCACTAAGACACGGAAGTGAACTGGTAATTCCATTCCAACCACTATTCGTCCAATGCCTTTTTTTGTTTCCGCATAAATCTTAAGCGCTGCGATCATGCTTTTCGTTTTTATGAACAGAAATACAACTCTTCCGGGATCTCAAAATGCTTTCCAAATAATCATTGTGTCCAATATAAAATGACACAATGTGCTAAGCTTTTAATATCGTTTTTCAACTTCAGCTCGCCGTTTAATAGGTGCTGTAGTTAGTGCTGGGTTGAGTCCAAATCGTAATTCAAACAGAGAGATAGGAACAGTTACAGATGAACAAGCCACTTCCCAAACGCCGAGCATTGACTTCATAGCCAACCCTGCAGTCACTGCCCGTTACGTGAGAGTGGATCTTCCTGGTAGAAATAGAATACTTCACATGCGTGAAGTCTACGTTGAAGAATTCACGGATGAAGATGGAGCAGGTAGGTTTTCAAAACTGATTAATCGTTGACAGTCACAAGTGTTGTCAGGAATGGTTTTACACAGAGTTGCGCAACATGAAACTCTTCTGTCTCTCTTCTTGTCAAGTCGCATGCTTCATATTTTAGTTGAAAGGCCCCAAAGTGCAGTAAAGTACAGACAAGCGGGTACATCACCAAATGAATGATGAGATTCTTTTCTCTTAGGCTGCCAATACCAAAGCCGGCATCTAACAATTCAACGAAAGGTCGAAAAAAGTAATGTAAATCAAAGTAAACACGACCTCAGGAGATGAATTTGAGTTATCTCTTTAAGGAAATAATTTGAAAATTCAATAGAAGATCAGAAATTGCACAGGTTAAACATAAACTGTTATTTTTGTCCGTCAATACAGACGAGGCAGTGGATTTTACACTCGTCACCAGCCCTACTCTACTTGGTAGCACTGGAAACAACAATGCAACCATTGGAGCTTACAAAAGCCCCAGAGATATCACCGCTGCCGTGTCATTCGGTCGGCAGTTGATGATTGGAGGAGCTAATAATGGACTGCCTTCAAGTTCAAAAGAGCTGCAGAGCAATCAGCTGGGATGTCAACTCAGACAAATCCAGTTACCCGAAGTCGGTGGGCTTGACAGAACAGGTGTCTTCTACTGCGAAGCCACTAAGCCCGGCAAGTCGGCCACAAGGATACAGACCATAATTTTGCCAACAGATGGTAATTTATCGTTTTTCTCCTCTAAAAATGCCAATACACTAAGTAGGTACTTGCATAACATTGTTATAAATGTTAGCAAGCCAATCAACTTGAGTGACATCATACATAAGTTACCACAGGACCACTGTGCCGGCGCGCGCTCTACCACCAGCGCTACATCCGGCTTTTGTTGCTAGTTCCTCTCGGTAGACCCTTCTGTTGCTACAGCAACGTCGTAATTTTGCCCACCCGTATTTGGCAAACGACGGCTCGCCGTCAGTACTTCTCATTCCTGTGTTTATTTATTTTTTGTTCAGTCTAGGAAGATTCTAAGTCAGCATGATTTCATGGTATCGTTTCTAGAGGGAGTTAGTGACTCGGCTCATTAACATCCTGGAATATATCTAACGCCGGTATTCAGAAAGATCCAGTGCATACTTTAAAATAATATGCCTCGTTGACTTCTGCCCGTTTGATTTTATCAGAATCTAGTGTATACGTACGTCCACTTCAACGAACAAAAACAGTAAATATCGGAGATTCAGTTCGATTGGAAATGCGAAAAGTGAATTCACCAAATACCGACTACAGATGGCAGCACAATGGAAGTGATGTTACTTTGTGGGACAAACAGCTTAGTGTGACTATTCCTCATGTTGCTGTGACGGATGCAGGAGTCTACAGTTGTTTCCCATCTGGACATGAAGGTCAACGACTGCATGGCATCATGAGACTCGTTGTGCGAGGTATTTGCATTAATGGTTTCGTCGATGTACACACCTTAGACACATCGTATTCGATGTTACAATTACTGTGCGCCAGCGTGGAACAAATGCTACGGATTATCTTAGAAGTCTGTTGAAGTGAAACTCAAAAAAGGAAGCGACAGCTAAAATATGACCACTTCTATCTTCCTAACTTACAAATGAAAAAACAGCCTAGTCCAAGTTATTTCCTTTCAATTTCAAGTAGCTCTTCCACCAAAAGAAACCATAGGGAGACAATTTATAGTAATTATTTAACCTTACGAAAACATTAAAAATGGAAGTTCGGGAAACATTTCAATCTCTCCCAGAAGTGTCATGTCCAAGATGGAGTTGGATAGATAGATAGATCGTGGTCTAATACATTCACATGCTGAATCTGCTGCGATATAGGACGAGGGAAAAAAAAGTAAAAGGATGTAATTAAAGTAAGGAAAGTACCGTGCTTGACCCAGTGGGAATGTCTCCCAGAAATTACCATCTATGAATTCAGATTACTTTTCTACCAGAATGTTCTGCAGAAAAGTGGGGGTCCCTTTCCTGTCTCAATATCTGCCGTCGATGCTACAATGGGGGAGTTTGTGATGCCAACACCGGAACGTGTGTCTGTGCACCAGGTTTCAGTGGAGAACACTGTGAGCAAGGTATCGAAAATAACTTTTCTAAAATGACTGCGCTGACATAACGTTATATCATAAGACTCCATTCGTTTGCCACTACAAACGATTGGTCAATCATCGATGCACATTACTATTTGTTCTGCACACAGTCCACGGTCGTAACGTCTTCGGACAAAATGCCGGTCACCGATGCTCCAACAGTGGCGATCAGCACGACAGTGCTTGTCGGGGTCGTTTATTTTGTTTGTCTGATCCTTACGGATGTTCATGTGCTGCAGGGTTCACAGGACTGGACTGCATGCGAGGTAATATGAAACTAAAATTGAAACTCACATTAATTTTCAGCCACAGGTTATGATCATATCCCCGTTATTGGTCGCAGTTGACAACTTGTAATTCCGCAGGGAAACTTTTGAAAAATGTAGGCCCTACTTTTCCCAAGTCAAAAGACACATTCCATCATTATATGTAATATTTCCTCTCATGATTAATTACAGTTTAGTCAATCTACGCGACAGACATGTGTGATATGTGCACGAATGCCGAAAGATTCGTAGCATTAGATCAATACAAGTTTTTAAAAATTGCAATTGAGGGTTGGTTGATGCGTTGCAACTTTTACTTAAGAGTGGACATGCTTCATGCTTCACATGGAGCATTACCCTAACTATAGCACTATACGTACTTAACAATTATGACAGTGACTATTCACATAAAATTGATTTAAAAGTCTGTGGACTCTTAAAACAGGATGCCCGGACGGAACGTATGGAGCTGACTGTAAGCAGACATGCCACTGCGCACCAGGAAAAACCTGCAGTAAGGATACTGGAGAATGCATTAATCATGAATGTGCCGGGCAATATTTTGGGAACAACTGCCAGTGCTCTGGTGAGTAATAAGCTACAGATATGACATAGATTCTCTTGCAATAAATGCCATACATACCAAAACCGTGATGAAGGCCCCAGCCCAAGCGATTTCTTTCTTCGAGTCCTACATTATGATATTAACTTTAATCACACCTTCACTGTATCTCGTAATCCTTTGCGAGCCAAACGTTTCCATTCTTCATGAAACCATGTCTGATCCCAGTGATCAGTTGGTCTGGCGGCTTTCCTAGAATGAGAAAGCCTGATTTCAGACCACCAGCCTATAATTCCTTGTCAAAATCAGTCGAAGCGGTAGTCTCGTCGATTATGCTTAATTATAACACGCGAGTTACTTATTTCGGTCTTGCACGACCTCACGTCTCATAAAGATGGCTTTACTCTAAAGCCATTTTCTGGTTTGAAAGTACGAAGACTTTCAGCTGGCAGAAACAAATATGTAAAACCCGTCGTCAGGTCCAACTTCCTATTTTGGAAAAAAAAAACATATGAATAGAATGGAGGTTTATATTGCAATGATTAGTATGCCAAGAGGGGAAAATCGTCCAGAAGGAACATACAGGAAAACATCAATGATCTGACATCTTGATACATACATGTAACTCTTGGTCTCCTTAATTTTGATTTCAGAGGTAGAACCTTTCTCGGGAGAAGTAATATCAACACTTGTAAAGAAACGCAGCCTCAGGTTTTCCTGGAGTGAACCGATTTGTGTATCTAAGCAGGGTGGTTCCATCACCGGGTACAAATACAGGCTCAGTGCCGTGATTTCCGGATCACAAACAGAGTTAAACCATCAAATCTCGGCAAAATCAGCTCTAATAGAAGACTTGATACCATACATTGAGTATAACTTTCAAGTTGCGGCTGAAACAAGTTACGGGACTGGACGGTATAGCAGTGGTCTCATAGTGCGGACGAAAGAAGCCAGTGAGTTGCGAGGAAAAGGATTCAAGAATGGGCTGAATGTGCTTTTATTCCTTAAAAAAATAGGTTTAGAGAGAATTTAGACGAAGGTCAAGAAATAGTGCCTACGACTCAAATAAACTAACACTTCTTCAATGTCCGACTCCACACATAGCTCCCGATTTGCACACCACACTGAAAGTCGTATAACACGTGTTGTTAGCTACTCTGTCAGGGAACCAAATTCAAACATTAAATGAGTACCAGTAACTGATTCAAATTGCTTCGGTAAGATTTGTGCTTCCATCCCGCTCACTTTTCTATGACAATTCCCGCACAATTACGGAATGTACCTTCCACTTGTATAGTCTCTCATCTCACGCCTACAAAAAATAAGGGATCAATAACAGTTCGTCTATCTTTTTAGAGCCAACAGTCCCTCAGAATGTCACCATCGAGAGTATCACCGAAGATTCGATAACGCTTGCCTGGTTGGAACCCGATCCTCCACATGGTAACATAACGGCCTACAATGTTGCCTGGAGACACGTCGGTGAAACACAAGAGGAGAAATATGTCAACACCACTGTCACACATCACAGGATGAGTGGTCTTCAGCTGAGTGAGAAATACTCAGTTAAGGTAAACAACTTCAAGTGAACATGTTTATTTATGTTTATGGTTTCTCAATAGCTAGAGAAGCTACAAACTGAATACGTGTGTGAACCTTCACCGGCATTAATGGTGTTCACCAGCTTTGGGTGTGTAATAAGCCTTTTGCGAGTTAGATTTCAGAAAAATCTGGTGCACTTAATTCTTTAAATTTACGTGAACATAACAATTAGAATTCTTCATACAAAAGACACGGTTGCTATACTTTGTGATTCGGGGCAAGCTTTTTCTTAGTTCTCAATTGATAAGAAAGGCACAAAGGAACCAGTCCATCCCAGAGATGGCGGTCGCTATGCAAACGCTTGCCTCGAATCACGAGATAACCATCAGTGTCTTCAGTCTAGGGAATTCAAATTGTTATGTTAATGTGCAATCAGATAACTCAGTGTACCATATTTTATATTTTATATTTTAAGTTTAACTTACAAAAGGTGAATTCTGCGGCAATCGGCCTTTTAACAAAAGTGGCTTCGGTTGCCACCCTATATGCATGTTATTTCCAGCAGCAGTCACTGCACTTAGTCACAGCCTAGGTTAGCATTCACTATTATCAAGATGATACTGAATTTGTGTTATGTTAAGATCCATGAGATTTTGTAAACACAATGTGACATTGTTTCCCATGCTATAGGTGCGCGCAAAAACGAAGGTAGGTCTTGGTGATTGGAGCGAAAACATCTCTGCAACGGTCGTCGGAGGTAAATACTTTTTGCTTTGAGTCTTAATTTCACATAAATACGATACTTATAGAACTGCATGGTCTTCACCTTCCGCCTTTCTTACCCAGGATCGAATTACCTCGGTCGACACATGATTGCTTTTAAATCCTTGCCCCTGCATAACGAGTTTTTTCGTTGGATATAATTCGCGGGGCTTAGGCCTCAGTGTACAAATCGAAACTTGTTTATCAATCAATGCTGTTTATTTTGATAAAAATAACACACAAATTTGATGAAGTGTAGGAGAAAACCGATACAAATTAGTTAATAGAATTATGAGTAAGTGGTAGACATAGGAGTAATTTTCAAAATAAATAGCACAGGATTTAGGAAATTATTCTTTCAGCGAAAGGGCAACCCTACAAAAGCAATGACAGATGCAAACTGGCATCCAAAATATGGCTCTGTTAAGATGGCAAGAAAATAACGAAGTAAGTCTGGTATGAATTGGCTTGATGAGCCATGAAAAGGTTGGATGCAAAATATGTATCACGGGAGTATCTTCAGTTATTTTTCCTAGAATTTCTAGTTGCTGTGTTTTCCTATGTGTCCTGTCAAATGGCAAGAGGTGGTGGTACCTGCTGATTTAATATTATGACACTTTCAGAACTAGGTGTTCACACATTTTGACTCGATCACATGGGGAAAAATGATATCCTGTGGGAGGAATGGATTTCCAATACAATGACAGTGAGGTGCATGGGAGCCTGAGTGGCATACAGAGTTGTCGCCGTGTCGTTTTCTTTCTGTTTGCAACACTTGACTTCGGGTCCAGTGGGACACATTTGATTTGGTGATCTATCCCTGGATTCACAGAAAATGGCCATACACAGGATAATATCTAAGGGAGGGTCTAGATAAGGGACAATCAAAGAGGTTTTACACATTTACCCCCTTTCATCACATCAACATTTTTGTTAAAATCTCGAGTTGCGAGTGGTCTGGATATGGATATATACATCAGTTGTTGAAAACACAGCTGCCGATATCTGATCTCGTCTACTTCACTCATACTGACACAGGTTCCGCAATGGAATAGATTGAGGGCAGCAAGTCTAACGGTTTCCAATAGCCATCAAACATACTGATAATCAGCAGAACCAGCAGGAAAAAACCTTCCTCTGAAAAGAGGCCCTGAAAGCCACACATCAGATTTCATAGGAAACACAAAATGAACACGCATAGTTGATTAAAACTGGATGGTTTACCAGACATGAAATAAATTTTTAGAGGAAACATGTCAGCACAAAACATGAAAATCATGGAAGTTATAAACAGTGCCTACTGTCTGCTTATGTATAAACGTTGAGGCCTTACAAAATGATAACTCCTGTTATCTCTGAAGCAACTAATTTGTCTTCTTTTCGTGTTAACAATAACATGCTATTTCTAATTGCAGTACCTGGTCCCTTACGCAATCTCCGCTGGACAAATAGAACCAAGGAGACAGTTACTCTGGACTGGGACCCACCGTCACAACCCAAAGGACCAATAAGCGGTTACGTTGTACGTAATATACCAGCAATTTATCTTCATTTGCTTTTTGAAAAAGCACGCACTCTAGCCATATTTGCACACAAGCCTTCATTACATGTATATTTCACGAATCAATAGATACATTATGCAAATGAAAGTATCATATAGATATTAGTATCAACTGGAGATAAACTCCAGTGGTGCCCAATCAAAGTGGCACTTTGATTCGCCATACAATGACGCTGCGACTTTTGTACTTCAAAACTTTTTTCAAGGTAAAATTCAGGGCAACAGAAAAGGAGGATTTCATAAAGAGAGAGACCGAAAGCGCTCCTTTTGTTGAGACAAACCTCGAGCCAGGCACAAAGTATGAATTCAATATTTTTGCCAAAAATTGGTGGTACACAGGAACGCCCTCTATCTTGGAAGTTTACACCATATCAGCGAAAGGTAAATTTATTTTTCTCTCCTAATGTACGAGAATTAGCTGTCTGGGAAATGGTCAAGCTACCTCAGCTCCGGTTTCACTTCCAAATAAGGAGTGTGAGTGAAAAAAGGGGTGTGGGTATAATAAAATGCACAACGTTTCCAATTAAATCAAGCAATGCCCACATATATCTGAGAAAACTTCCAGTGCCAAAAGTTCCATCCACCAAATTACATTAGTATATTCCATTCATACCCCTCGGAAACCCCATTATGGCTAGTGGCCCAATGAATTAGGTTTTCGTTACACTCTTTTGACGGAGCTACATCGTAATTGAGCCAATACTCAAATGGTTCATTCATTAGAAATAAACGACGCTGTCTGCTGTTTTAATATGAAAAAAGACCGACAACAAGAACAGACTGAAGTTTTGATGTTTTCTTATATTCGAAAAAATGTGTTACTAAATCTTCAACAGACATACATGTACCAGCACAACCAAAAGGGGTACTTCAGCTGACGGTTAAATTTTTGATGCGAACACCAAGGTTGGATTTCATTCGTTAGTATTGGGTTGATGACCACGTGGCGTTTCAAGTGTTATAAGTTTACGCTTTCAATGTTCTCTACAGAAACACGGCAAAATAATTCAACTGGACTTGCGGTGGGGATGGTGTTTCTAGTTTTGGCTCTCGTCACCACTGTTTTAGTCGCCATTATTATTTTTAGAAGGTAACAGAACAATGTAATTTTCTTGCTTTCAAGCTATCAGACAAAAATGTCCAAATTCCCTACGGACACTGAAGGGATGGTAGACAGATGTTGACAGATGCTTTCAAAATATCATTGACCTACAGAAAAGCTAATCAACCTCAAAGGACGTCTGACGGAAGAAGATCCTTAATGTTCCCAACAGATCGACCACATGAACTTAAAGTTGATGAGCCAGGTATTCTTCCATAAGGATGACATTTTCGCATTTCCTACTTTTTGGCACGACCAGTGTTCTGTTTAACCTACGAGTGGGTTTTTATGAGTGTCAAAGAAGTGTCAATTTCTTTGCACCAGGTCAACATGGTCATGGTATTTTTCACCACAGTGGGGGTGTAGACCTAGGTGCTTTGGGGTTTTATTTTAAAGGCAATATGAGCCTTTGAGTAAAGGGGCGTAAAGAGGTTACAGCTGCTGTGCAGAATTTAAAAGTTTACTACTGTAAAACTTGTTAGCGTCCCACTGTAGATATTGGGTGTTTGACACTCATTCAATATGCAAATTGTTTTCAGTGGGTTATTTTATTACGTTTCGTTGTGTTTGATCCACTCCAGAAATTACTTATATTTTTATTATTAATCATTATTATTATTATTGCTGTTGGGGATGGTTGATGGATAAAAATAAACTGAAAGTGCCCTAACAGAAGAGCCCAAGTTTGACCAAAAAGAATCGGAGCAATACGTTTTCTGGAGCAATGTAGGACCTTAAATATTGATAAAACGCTCTCAACAGTGAAACAGTGTCATGTATATATCGAAATTGATGTTTTCAGGCAATTTATGTCACTAAAGTGCTCTTTATTAAGTGAAAGATTCCTAAAAAACTATTTCTTATACCTATCACTACTGTTACTAGCTATCCCGTCACCGTAGGTGGTTAACTGTTAACAATAAAGGGAGCTTCAGTCAACGTTCTTGCTCTTGTTCCCACATACAGTAATGGCGACGTCTTCGAACGCTTATTGTGATTCTGAGGGTGGGAGCAGTCCGCCTACACCTTTGGGGTCCCCTAAGCTCGCGCCTAAACCAAGCCAGAAACAAGTCTTCAAGCAGCCACCGCCCGTTTGCTCGGAGGCGCTAGCTGACTACACCAAGATGAAGGAATCAATGAAAGAAAGTGGATTTGAGGCAGACTATAAGGTTGCTGTGTATTCTTGCTCAGAAACTTGACACCTTTTCTGTTGTAGGCCTGTCAGTTCAGAGACCTTAACACGTCACATTTACACAATGTTCAAAGCATATATACTACCTGAACTAGAATTAATTGTATCACAGTCTCTGAGGAAACTTTAATCCGTACTTCACCATGTACAGCATTATTGAAGAATCAATCATAATTCATTCTATGTGTTTTTCCTCCAGACGATTCCAGACGGTCAGTTACATCCTTGGACTGTGGCAAGGAAACCAGAAAACAAGCACAAGAATCGATTTGCCAATGTCATTGCCTGTATGTGTACACCAAACTTTCGTATTTTACCCCTTTGTATTTGTATTGAAGATGACTCCTTAAGGTATGGCCTTTTGCCGTTGTAAGGACCGATTGTATATTCAGAGGGAAATGAGTTGCCATGAAACTGACAATCAACTCCAAATTTGCTCGCAGATGACCATTCTCGCGTTGTATTGACGCCTATGGAAGGAGACCCTCATTCCGATTACATAAACGCATGCTACGTGGACGTGAGTTGGCTAATACAAATATATACTATTCATTCCTAGAGGCATTAATTTCTCACAGTGTCATTAGGTAGATTTCTTCATTTGGATATCTCGGCTTTAGTTAGTCGTTCCAGCCCATGTGCTTTTCCAATTGATTTTTTTTTCATTCAGTCATACGCAAATAGAGATTTCTTGATCTCACAGTGTGTAATTATCTTATCCAAGTGTTTCGTCCACGTCTTAAACCAACAGGGCTACAAAGAGGCAGACAAGTACATCGCTAGTCAAGGCAAGTATCTTCTGCGTCCTTCAAACCGAAAAGTGTACGGTTCGTCTCATCTTGCACATTATTTAAACCCAATCAAGAACACATTTCATTTCCAAGGCTTGTCATGTAGAAAGATGTTTTTATAAACCTTTTATTAGGACCTAACAAGGGTTCCCTTAACGACATTTGGCGGATGGTGTGGCAGTTAAACGTTGATAAGATTGTGATGCTGACGAATCCCGTGGAAAACGGAAAGGTATTGTATTTTATAATTTTTCAGTTTTTTTAGTTCGAGTATATTTTCCTCCTGCTATCTGTATTCAGTGCGGTTATTTATTGAAAATCTTCTTTGTCGAACCAGCGGAAAAGTGAAGTATTTTTTATATCTTAATTTACCTTTGCTCGCTTAATTTAGATTTTTATTTTTCTGACGGAAAAAACTCCCTCAATTCATCCAATTCTTTTTATTTTGGTGATTTTGTCGTTTCAACCAATATTTCATATTTGAACGCATTTTTTTATAAATATTTTGCTTGAACGCCTGGGTTTAAAAATATGCCAACAAACCACTAAAATGGGAAAACGCAAAGGTCTTTTATTCTTCCAAGCCTACTTTTAGCAATTCACGTCCTTTCCAGCAACAAGTATACCACTTCCAAATTTCAAAAACTGATAAAATAAGGATTACACGTAAAATCAACGAAATGTTGAACTCACCCCTTGTCACTATAGGTGAAGTGTCTCCAGTACTGGCCAAATACGGGATCTTGTACTTACGCCGACATCTCCGTGGTAATCGTTGACGAGCGAGTCTTCCTTGACCATACAATCCGACTCCTGAAAATAACACAGGTAAAACTGGAACCACTGATATTTTGGACGCGGAATTTCCTCCATTTCTTTTAAATCTTGTTATTGTTTTAACTAATATAATGTTGTTCTCGAATCTAGCACGACAGTGACGAGGACTGCCGAGTAGTGAAGCAGTTCCACTACACCACATGGCCAGACATGAAACCACCCGAGTACCCAGCACCCTTGCTCAACTTCATACGAGTGGTGAACTCTGAGCAAAACGAAGGACGGATCCTTATACATTGCAGGTAAACCAAGGTCTTATGAGAAACATCACCCTTAAGAGAATCGATTTTGTAGCTGTAGGTATTTTTCAAAGCTTTTAAAATGTTTGTTAATGTACCACACCGTTCTGACCGAAACGGTGGAAAAAAAAACTAGACAGTGGTTTGAAGCATTCGTGGTTAAAATCTACATGGACGTGCATGCGCTTCACGATGACATAAAAATAGAATACTGGTGTAAAGAACAAAGGGAGAATTAACCCTTCATTCACATGTTCCCTTATTTACATATTCATTTCTCTACATCTGTTGTTTAGTGCAGGTGTGGGCCGCACGGGGACGTACATCTGCCTAGACTCCATGCTGCAACAAATGAACCAGGAGGGGCAGGTGGATGTTCTCGGCTTCATCTATCGCATGAGGCAAAAGCGCATCATGATGGTACAGACTCCGGTAAGGAGCAGCCTATGGCAAACCATGCAGTAAACACTCTTAATAGAAATTTTGTGACTTGTAAAAACCTTGTCGACCTTGGCGGATAACAGTTTTGCATGCATGGCATTCAATAGCACACCACTGTCTGAGCTTCACGCAAAACTCAGAACAAAACCCTACATCTCTCGAACTGAAAACAGCATGGCTCAAGCAAAATGTTCTGCATTATTGGCAGAGCAGTTTTCACTGGGATAACGTCCAGCAAAAGTCGTATGCAAATCAGGTCACTTTATTTACATCTCCAGGAGCAATACCAATTCATCTTTGATGCCCTCCTTGCGGCATCCCTGACTGGCGAAACAACCTACAAAATAGTCGATTTCCGACGACAACTGACGGCCATGAAGAAGGTGCAAGGTCGCTCCAAAGAAACGGGCATCGAGAAGCAATTTCAGGTAGAGAAAGAGTGAAATCAGATGTTACCATTAATTACCCAATTTTGCCGACAATGATGCAAAATAACTTTGCTTTGAACAATTTGATAAAAAACCAAATGCAAGTTGTCTCTGTTATTTCGATTGGCAGAACATTTCTATAAATTACCTGAGTAGTATTTGATGTATTTTGTTTATAGTTTATTTGCTACAGTTTGTTTGACATTTAAATGCGACGGCACGTTTGTTAACGAGCACAGGACTTTGACGCAGTTTCACCAAAGGAGAGAAAGAGACAGTCTTGTTTGGTGGTACACTGTACTTTTTTTACAGGCGCTGGGTAAACTGCGATTGGGCCGTCGTAATGAGCGGAGCAGGTCCGGCCACCTCCCGGAGAATGCCACCAGGAATCGGTTTCCAGATTTCATTCCAAGTGAGCGCCGGATAGCTATAATTTGGATGTTTTTATTCTGCGAATACAGAAACAAGAGAATATTGATATGAACAAAAGATTTACAGTTTTGACACGAAATTTGCAGTCTTCCAGGAAAAAAACATGAATTCGTATTTGAGGAAAACAAAATGGATCATCTCAGTTTTTAAGTTTAATGATTTTTAGATATGAATCGGAGAGTCATATGATACCTAGTCTTTTTCCTCATAAACACCATGGTGTTATGTGAAAATGTTAGTAAAATGGTGTCAGTAAAATTCCTCTAATTTGAGGGCCAATTTATTGTTACCCTTCAGCTGACAGATCGAGACCATTCTTGGTGACTACCTCACGTGAAGATGATAACAATTACATCAACGCCACGTTTCTCCCGGTTGGTATCAGTGCGTTACTTTCTAGCCTCTGTGCTGTCGCGCCGTCTGAGCGCAGCAATGCCGTCACTATTTACCCGTATGGACTTTATCTGAGTTGCGCAATCTAGCACAGTGCATGCTGTTGCACCTAGGCCATTCTTATTCCGCAACCCTGTCCTGCCTTGTACGTGTGTGCAACAGAACGCACCAGAACGCCCCTGTGGATTTTGTGGCGCTGTGCAATACAAGGAAGTCTCGACCCTGAAGGCTGTACCACTTGTGGTCACTGTGAATTGCAACATTCTTCCAAAACGCAGGAAAGGAACAGGCTTTAACCCATTCAAGTTACACACTTTACTCTGCCAATTGCGTGAACAACTATTATGGCAGCAATACATGACAAATATGAATTAAGCGGGGATGAGGTTGTTATCTTTGGGCCATTTTTGATTCCTCACCTCTCAGTTTCGCATTATTATAGTTTTAAATATAATTTTTCAACTTTGGGAGTTTCTTAGAAACTGGTTAATTTGATCATCAGTCATCAGGTTCAACACTCGCTTTGTATAGGGCTACCGCAAGAAATGTAGGTATATCACGACACAGATGCCCATGCCCAGCACAGCTGCGGACATTTGGCGCTTAATGTACGACCAAAAAGCGACTTGCATCGTCATGCTTAACCCTCTGGATGAAGACGACGAAGTAAGTCTCGAAAGTATTTTTACTATAACAAATCTAAATCGGTAGAAAATTTGTTTTTCGGGGTAGGCAATGCTTTATCACAATTTTGGGAGTTGATTCTGTGTATACGTAGTTTTTATTATTATTGATTTTTGTTCAAATTTGTGTGATTAGAGCATATGTCGTTACTGGCCAGAAGACGGGCCCTTCGAGTTGGGACCCCTGGTTGTGGAGCTACTGCAGACAAAACAGTACAAAGGTGTGATTGGTCGCACTTTTTCACTGCGCCATGTGAGAGCAAAGGTAATCCAATCATTCATTAATTATTCATTTATTATAATTAATTTGTGGACTGCATTACATGTGCTTATATCGTCTAAGTTTGACTTTTAACAATTATTTTTATATTAATTTGATTAACATGCACATGGATACAATTGTGGCAAGAGTGCTTTTTAGCTTTGTAACAACAAAATTATTACGTTTGGCAACGTGAATTCATAAAAAAACATCCAAAAATGATCCAAGACAACTGAAAACAATTTTGGCTTGATTCTTCTGGGAGGGGGTTCCAACGAATACGTGTGCAAGCTCTGGCGCGATGCACACCAAAACACATTTATATCGAAACTGGTGTTTCACAAACTCGTTTTAGGCTGAGCCTGCTCGGACCGTCTGTCAGTTCCAATGCCAAGACTGGCCAGCAGATGAGGAGGTTCCCAGCTCCCGACAAGGAATTCTGACACTCATGGACCTAACTCAACAATGGCACGAGGAAAAATCGCCCATCGTGGTTCATTGCATGTAAGTTCTATTAAGCAGGCTAATTATGTTTGCCAAAGGGCTTCATTTAGCCTCTTTCCAAGAGAACAAGCTAAGCGCGAGGGGTCATGCTAGACAAACTTTGACATTTTTAAGCAAATCTATATTTTTCAAAATGTTGCGTCACAACTCACCAGCTTATCTTTTCTTGAAGATAAGCTAGTTTCTCTGTTAGTTGATATTCCAACCTAGTTGCAGCCAGTTAATACGTACACGCTACAGTCTTTTATCACAAGGTATTTCAAATTCAGAATGCTGGTTAAAACAAGTAGGAATAACCCGAAAAGCAAATTCGGCTTAATGAAAGAATTCAGTATTACATTTCCACATCTGGCCATTAATTAAAGAAATGAATCTGTACTTAAGACTGGACACGCACATTTATTAAATACCCTTTTCAGTCAGGATCTAAAAACTTGTTGAAAACTAAAAAAAAATTCGAACAATTTGGTTCAACAATTTTACTTTATAAAAACCCCTCTAGCCATGTTATGCTATGTTCCTCTCGTAATCAGGCGTAAGCAATCTCCATAAATGGAGATAAGCGTGCGTGGCACGTACTATATGAGGTGTGCATCGCGGCTTCCAGTCGCTTTTTTATCAAACGTTTTAATAAGACTGTCCACGTGACGGGCCGTCAACCAATAGAGATGGCTCAACTGTTTAAGGTATTGGTGAACAATGTTTTCAAGGAATGGGTTTGGCCGTTCAGCCGTGTACTGCGCCCTCATGTCTGCCATGGAACAGTTCCAGGAGGAAAAGGTTGTGGACGTCTTTCAAGCCGTTCTGCGTCTTCGTGCAGTGAACAGCAGCATGATGTACTCCATGGTAAGTGCGCCTTATTATGATCGAATCAGTATTATTTAATCTACATGTGCTTACAATAAAGCGATCTGACGAAAAACAGCATTCTCAATGCGAGCACGTTTTAAGCATGTTTTAAACAATTAGATCGAACGGCTGCATAACGGCGCCTTTACTTGCTAATAAATGCCAATGGACGTCACCCATCTTTTGAGAAGAAAATGTATGCCAACTATTTCCACTTTTATTCACGAGCTTCCACCTGTTTTCCTTTCAAGCGATATCATTCTACCCTGACCGCATTCTTTGAAATAAAAGCCAAGTCAAAACAGAAGAACGCGAATACGAGTACAAAGATGCTTTTTTGAAAGGAGTTCCTGTTTTAGCCTCGGTGCTAGTAGCGATCGAGCATTGTTCGATAATTATTTTGCTTTTCAAGACAGAATGATTGATATGTGGGTGGTATGGTTTACGTTGGACAGGACCACTATGCTATGTGCTACGACATACTCCAAGTCAACTTAGATTCGTCCACCGTCTATGAGAACCTCTAGACCCGAAGATAGCTGTAAACAATGATAAATGACACTTAAAAATCACATGTTAATCATTTTTGTATCGAGCAAACTGCAGACTGGTATCAAGCAATCACATTATGTGGAACACTGCTCACCGTGCTGTTTTTTATTTATTTTTTTTTGCCTGCAGAAAAGTATGTCTTTACGAAATAGCTAACAAATAACAACCAACCCGAGATTCGGTCTTAACAATGTAAACTGTGACTTTCTTTGATTAGATGACCTGTTCAGATAATTCAGTAACTTCATATACATGCGCGTACACTGCTTGTAAGTTCATGTGCGATGGATTTCAATAGAGCGAGAGGTCTCGTGAAGAAAAAAATGGTTGCATAGGCAGAAAGCAAACAGTTGATCGATCAAAAATCGCGAGTGAAATAAATAAAGTAGTATTTTTTACACAGGTCATTGGGAAAAGTTTAAGTAAGTAGCCATTTCAAAGCCAAAATGTAATCGAGTATTATGTACCGATTGAACTAGTCTATGGGGAGAAGAGCTACAATTAGTTGTTGCCAGAACTCGAACAGACTGGGATAAGATACGAAATTATATAGTTGATGTGCCAACCACAGAGGCTTTTAGAAGCAAGCTGTAAGCTACACCGTGCAAAGTGATCATTGATAAACAACAATTCCTCGCTCCCCAGAGGCGGTCGCGATATGTCACCGTGTAATGAATTAACCATCAAGATCATCAAGTACGCTTTGTGTTAAGATATATCCTGATATTACTCAGTAAACCATGTGTTCTTGTAGGACTACGACGTAACAAGAAGTACACGTATCGTGATAGGCCTATATATTTAAACAAGTAAAACAAGTTAATTTTTTAAATTTTATCCCCACATTTCAATGATACATTCGTGAAAGATTTTGATAACAATATAATCAGTCCTACAGCCTCAAAACCAGGCGTCTTCAGGCCAAGAAGGGATGAACTTTCTCTCTAAGTATTGTGCAGAATTTTGTCACTGCTAATAAACGTACCTAGCATTGCCATAAACGCCATCTGCATAAATGCGACCTGATCACTTAGGTGCAATGCAGCCCATGTGGGCAGAGAATGAACGACAGCTCAGGAATGGACACCTGTCAAGCTGTATTGACAGGACGGTTGGTCATAATTTTTGTCTTTAAAATTTTGAGATTACTCAGGCTTCTTTTACTGTATCAGGAAAAAGATTAGACCCGCCAAATTTACCAAAACTAGATTTCAGAACAGTTCGTCTGATTATAGGAAACATCATTGTTATTTGGTTGTGCTGGAAGGTGCATGTTTCCCGTTCGGCGTACGGAGATGACACAGTCCAAACCCAGCCTTGGGTCAAGATTAACGTTAGTCAGCAAGAAATTGGGGAGCCGAGTGAACGAATAACGCCTGGCAATCATTGCTTCTGTACAGAAAATCCGTACTTTCGGTATCATTGTACTTATTGTATTGTAAAGAGGTAAAAGAAAGCGACGACCTCGTGAGCACTGTACAAAATTTGGCCAATGTGGGCTCTCGGCGATTTGCACTTGTCAGCGCCCTGTGCGTGGCTGATGATATGAGCGCTGAGCGACGAGCGAACGTTAAACGTTATGCCGCCCTCCTAGATTTGTTTCCTTTGGTTTACTTTACTGGCTGTACCTCGGCATTTTTGGCAAAGTAGGACTGCACATATCTTTATAAATCTGGTAATTTAGCAAAAGAACGCATTCAATCATTTTGCAGAAGATCGTGTTGCCTAGTGTATTTAGCGTAATTTGATTACAAAATCGTGTAATAAGCCCTATATGATGAATATAAGTTTGTAAAATTGTTGATCACGATTAAGATTTTTTTGGTCACAAGCATTACTCAGTATTTGAAAACTTTGCAAATTGTCAAATGTCCAAGTCACGGTAACAGTGACACTGTCTATCACAACTTCGCTATAACGTAGACTCGATCAAATAAAAGTGTTTTCAAATTAATAAAAAAATTGCTCAATTTTGAGCATAAAATTAGTGTTGGAGGCTACGCCAATTCATTCTCATGGAGGTCAGGAACAACATTTCAAGAGATTATTAAATACGTTTTTATCTGCAAGATATATTTGTTGAGAGTTTTAAGCATGGTTTAGCTATACATTATGACATTAGATAATTTAGATCAGTCATTTCAGAGTCGAGACCAAGTCAATCAATACAAGCCGTCACTTGTCGCCACAAGATGTCATCATCTGAAGGAAAAAGATTCCGTGTCAACAGTCGGTCTATAACTACACGTAGTCAGATGGGCTGCGAAGGGAGACATTTTTCTTGGTTGACATCATTCATAAGTGTTTGCCAAATCCATGCATGATATTACCTTAGTAACAGATTTTATCTCACACAGGGTCCTACTGACCTGTACTTCACACCACTAGGGTAGACAAGGTTGAAATATATTAAGCAGTAAAGTTTCTCAACAAAAATTTGTAATTAAGGTTCTAACATTTTGCGTGACGTATGTATTATTTTTGTACCCAGGAATACAGACTTGAGGACATTTACAGCAGTTAAAACAATGTGTGTGACACAAAAGGATGAGATGTATAACGTCGAGTTTGTCGTTTCATCATTGTGTGTGCGTTTGTCTTTCAACTAGGGCTGGGGTCATGATTAAGAAGAAACCTCCTGCATTCAGAGACTAGAGTTGTGAAATTTAATTGATGTATCAAGAAATATATCACCGGGACAAGTTTCAGTGGGGTGGGGCGGCTCATTTTTCCTTTCCAACTTGCACGTCCCCCCCCCCGCCAATGGCAGGGTCGTGATTGGAGTCTTGCAGGATGAAATAGGACATTTTCTCCAAAGTAAACCAAATTTGTTTGGGTGGGTAATGTTGTCGTACTGCCTAGCCCTGCAGTCCTACGGAGCTCCTACTCAGCACTCCCATTCCAAACCAACTTCCATCTCAACTCGTGGATGTCATCCAGATCTGTTGGGGGGGCAAATATACCTAAAAGGACACATATCCCTCTATGTAATCATATAAGATTGCTATATTTAGAAAATTTTTACACCTTTTATGCTCGTATATATGAAGCATCCTCTGTGCGGGAACAGGACCCGGCATAAGGCAAAGTCAGAATTACGCAAAAACATAAAGCAGTTGGATAAGAACTCGCACATTCTTTGGCAAATATTTCCCTAACTTCTGCAAATATGGATATAAAACCTATACGAGTAGATATAGGACATATGCCCTATCAGACGAAACAAGGATTGCTAAATTTTAGACCTTTCATGCTCGAATATATGAAGCATTCTATGTGCCCTATCAGAACCGGCAAATCGGAGACAAAGCGAGAATTACGCAAATATAGAAGGCAGTTGGACGAGAACTCGCAGTTCTTTTGGTAGATATCTTCCTAAGAACTGAAAATATGGATATGAAACTTATATGAATAGATGGAGGAACATGTGACCATTTAAATGACACCAAGATTGCTTGAGGTAGATAATTTTCAGACTTTTTATGCTCGAATATAGGAAGCAGTCTCCGTTCGAGAATGGGACCGGCATAGCGGAAAGTCCAAAATACGTAAAAATATCACGCAGTCGGAGAAGAACTTACGCTTCCTTTTGCAGATATTTCGCTAACTACTAAAAATTTTGATATGAAACTTATATGAATAGATAGAATTTCATGTATGCTTTCAGATGACACCAAAAGCGGGTGATTTAGAAAATTGTTAGACCTTTTACTATACAAAGCAGTTTCCGTTCAAAAGTCCAAATTACGTAGAGTATCACGCAGTCGGATGAGCACTCGAACATTCTTTTGCAGATATTTCGCTAACTACTAACAATATGAATATGAAACTTATATAAATAGATAGAGGAACGTGTGGGCAGTTCCATGACACCAAGATTAGTAGATTTAGACAAATTTAGACCTTTTATGCTCAAATTATGAAGCCGTTTCTGTTTGAGTATGGGACTGGCATACCGGAAAGTCAAAATTTCCTAAAAACATGACGGAGTCGAACGAGAACTCAAACTTCCTTTTGCAGATATTTTGCTAACGACTAAAAATATGGATATGATACTTATATAAATAGACAGAGGAACATGTGGCTAGTTATATGAGACAAACATTGGTAGATTTGGACAATTTTTTAGACCTTCTATGCTCGAATATATGAAGCATTCTCTGTGCACTAACAGGGCCGGCATAGTGCAGACTAAGCAGGAATTACGCAAAATAGGAGGCAGATGCACAAAAACTCATACATCCTTCTGCAGATGATTCTGCAGAAAATATGGATATAAAATTTCTATGAATTGATAGAGGAACGTGTGGCCATTTCTATGACTCCAGGATTGGTAAATTTAGACAATTTTTAGACCTTTTATGTTCGAATATACGAAGTCGTCTCTGCTGGAAGAATGGGACCGGCATAGCGGAAAGTCCAAATTACGTAAAAATACTACGCAGTCGGACGAGAACCCGAACGTCTTTTCGCTGATATTTCCAAAACTACTAAAAATATGGATATGAAACTTATATAAATAAATAGAGGAACATGTGGCCGTTTAGATGACACCAGGACTGGTAGATTTGGACAATTTGTAGACCTTTTATGGTCAAATATATGAGGCATTCTCTGTGCGGTAACACGGTTGGTATAGCGCAGACAAAGCGGGAATTACGCAAAATAGGAGACAGATGCACAAAAACTCACACATCCTTTTGCACATGATTTCTACCTAAAGCTAATGTGGATATGAAACAGATATGAATAGATAGAGGAGCATGTACGCTTTCAGATGACACCAAGATTGGTACTCTTAGATAAGTTTTGGACCATTTAATGGTCAAACATATGAAGCATTCCAAAATAGGACCAGCATAACAGGAAGTCCAAATTACGTAAGATTATCAGGCAGTCGGACGAGAACTCAAACATTCCTTTGCAGATATTTCGCTAACTACTAAATATATGGATATGAAACTTATACAAATAGATAGAGGAACATGTGGCCATTTAGATGACAACAGGAATGGTAGATCTGGACAATTTTTAGACCTTTTATGGGCGAATATATGAAGCACAGACAAAGCGATATAGCACAGACAAAGCCAGAATTACGCAAAATAGGAGCCACAGGCATAAGATCTCTCACAACCTTTTGCATATGATTCCCTAACTACAGCAAATATGGATATGAAACTTGTATGAATAGATAGAGTAACATATACGCTTTCAGATGACACCAAGATTAGTACATTTAGATACGTTTTGGACCTTTTTATGATCAAACATATGAAGCATTCTCAGTTTGAGATTGGGACAGATATTTGCAGATATTTCGCTAACTACTAAATATATGGATTTGACACGTATATAAATAGATAGAGGAACGTGTTGCTATTTAGATGACACCAAGAATGGTAGATTTGTACAATTTTTCGACCTTTTATGCTCGAATATATGAAACATTCATGAAGCGGTAAGAGGGCTGGTATAGCGCAGAATAAGCGGGAATTATGCAAAATAGGAGGCAGATGCGCAAAACCTCACACTTCCTTTTGCAGATGATTACCTAACTACAGCAAATATGGATATGAAACTTATACAAATAGATAGAAGAACATGTTTGCTTTCAGATGACACCAAGATTGGTAGATTTAGACAATATTTAGACCTTTTATGGTCAAACAGATGAAGCATTCTCCGTTCGAGAATGGGTCCGGCATAGCGGAAAGTCTAAATTACGTAAAAATATCCCGCAGTCGGCCGAGAACTCGAACTTCTTTTTGCAGATATCTCGCTAATTACTAAAAATGGATATGGATATGAAACCTCTATAAATAGATAGAAGAACATGTGGCCATTTAGATGACACCAGAACTGGTAGATTTGGACAATGTTTAGACCTTTTATGGTCGAATATATGAAGCATTCTCTGGGCGGTAAGAGGGCCAGTATAGCGCACACTAAGCCAGAATTACGCAAAATAGGAGTCAAATGCATAAGAACTCACACTTCCTTTTGCAGCTGTTTTGCTAACTTTTAATTATATGGATATGACACAATATAAATAGATAGAGGAACATTTTGCCATTTAGATGAAACCAGGACTGGTAGATTTGGACAATTTTTAGACCTTTTATGGTCGAATATATGAAGCATCCTCTATGCAGTAACACGGCTGGTATAGCACAGACGAAGCCAGAATTACGCAAATAGGAGTCAAACGCATATGAACTCTAACTTCCTTTTGCAGCTGTTTTGCTAACTTTTAATTATATGGATATGACACAATATACATAGATAGAGGAACATGTGGCCATTTAGATGACACCAGGACTGGTAGATTTGGACAATTTTTAGACCTTTTATGGTCGAATATATGAAGCATTCTCTGTGCGGTAAGAGGGCCAGTATAGCGCACACTAAGCGGGAATTACGCAAAATAGGAGGCAGATGCGTAAGAAGCCACACTTCCTTTTGCAGATGATTCCCTAACTACAGCAACACTGGATATGACACAATATAAATAGATAGAGGAACATGTGGCCCTTTAGATGAAACCAGGACTGGTAGATTTGGACAATTTTTAGACCTTTTATGGTCGAATATATGAAGCATCCTCTATGCAGTAACACGGCCGGTATAGCACAGACGAAGCCAGAATTACGCAAATAGGAGTCAAATGCAT